CTGTGCAACTGTTATTATCACTGCCCTCAAAAAAACCAGTGTTGAAACCGTTTTCTTGGCAGAGTTTCATAACTTCATTCCGCAGTGTTTCATTCCACTGGTCTAGTTCTTTATTAGACTCAGCATCAACCTGGACGCACCATGAAAAGATTCAGATTGAAGAAAGAGAAAATGGCTGAGAACTTCCACCCAAGAAGACAATCGGAACCTACTTTACTAATTAGTATATAGTGATCAAAGCTCGAAGTGACAAACCTTAGCAAACTTATGGAAGTCGCGGAGCTTTGATGCCAAACGCTGACTGCTAAGAGATTCTCCACCTTTACTGGATCTTCCATGCCAACTTTCACGTGACTTAGGCGAACTCGCATCTTCTTTGTTTTCTGAATTTGGTGTCCTAGGAACTGATTTTTGCATATCTGACTCACTGTGATCAGAGCTGTTATCACTATGCACCCGATCTTTTGAGGGAGATGGATAGTGATTCACCTCATGCCCATGGGTTTGTGAAGGTGACTCAGGAACAGAAAAATCTTCTCTGTCAAAATCTGCACACATTGTTTTGTCCATCATACTAAAAAATGCCCGAAGCAACACATCTAATTTCTGATGAAGGGTGACAAGGAAGATGTGAAACTCTTGCAAATCTCTGAGACCAGCACGGAAACCATTTCGGAACTCACGTACAACTGGTGTTACAACTGATCGAACATTAGATGTTTCTTCACCATCTTCTGCCTGTGGATATCCTAAATTTCCTTCTGTTATTTCATGTAACAAATTCGAAGAGTATTGGCTACTATTGAGGAGTAGCTCAACTAATCTTGGATAAATTTCTTGGTCGCTTGCCCGTTTTCCAGCAGGAGGCCGCCGTGGAACACCCGAGTCTATGGCAACAAGGTGAAAATCAGCAGCTACTGATCTATCAGACATTGGACTCATTAAACCAGTGTCATACGATTTAGGTGATTCCGTTATATCGGAAAAACCAGACGACTGTGAGACCAACATTTGATCACTGATACTCAGCCTGGATCTGCTATCTACAGAAGAAGCTCTTCTTTCCCTTTGAATGGATCTGTAGTCCTTTGGATGGTACCGTTTGATGGCGGAATCAAAAGCTTCTTCAAATGAGCATTCAAGGTGTTTTGTAGAAGACAAAATTCTGTCTGTCAGTAACAGATTTGCCGGGTTGCCACGCCATCTCAGCTGACGACAAGGTAATCTGTCTTCGTTCCTAATTACTAGATCTAACACCAAGATTCTCCCTAGAGCTGCTGCAGCCCTCTCTGCTTTTTCTTCAGTTTCAAAACTACTCATGCTCTCCAGCATTGGACATCCATGAACATAACTGTAATCACAAATCGAGAATCAAGTGCTTAGAAGAGGGATTCTGTACAAACATCACATATCAACAAATGTAAATTTGAAAGAGTGGGATAAGGTTAATGCCTACATGATCCTATTAAGTAAGACTAGATTTCTGTTCAACTATATCTCTCATGTTTATTATCATTTAAGGCAAGATTAGATTTCTGTTAAACTATTGTTATCAAATTTTAGCCAATGAAATGATTCCATCTCATATTTGTATTTTAGGTGTTTCTTATTTTATAATGCAATATTTATATCTAATAAATATAACAACTTTAATTTTTTTTTTAAATATAATATTAAATGGTGTATCCAAATTTTCAAATTTCTTAATTTTAAAATCACCGGACATGGTCGGGTAACTATCTACTTAAACACTAAAGCAAAGGAACAGAAACCTGTCAAGATTATGTTGCTGGTAGAAGTCTAAAATGGAGAAAAGTTATAAAGGATAAGATGAACTTGTGCTTTCACCTCATTAAGAGAAGACAACGGCTGAGCTCAAGGGCTTCCAGAAGTTCTGAACATGTCATCTCACCAACTTCGTCCCCCTCTGAAGTGGCTTTAGCTTGTGCTTTTTCAGTGGCTTCTTTGATCAGTGTCCATTCAGGATTACAGCTATGAATTACTCTAGCCTGTCGCATGATAATTACTCATTACTCGAAAAGTCGTAAAGAAAGAAACTGAAGCGAGCGAACCAATACTACAATGTTCTCAAATACAAAAAAAAAGAAGAAGAACCTGCGGAATCTGCACCCCTAGCCACTTGGAAAACTCATAACCTAGACGTTCTGATTGCGTGGCCATCCTCGATGATGCAAATTTTATAACTGCTGCTTCTTCCTTACGAGAAGCATCTTCAGAGCTGGAACTATTGAACAGGGCAAAGAAAACAACTCCCCCAGAATTCACAGTAACCTATGCATACATAAGAAATTCATCTAATAATGTCAAAAGATCCTCCTACTATTACCAATCCAAGATCATAATGATATATACCTCAAGAGGTTTACTCTGGTCCTCTTCAGAATGATCAGTGCTACTACTATGCTCAGTATGATGAAGTGAAGACAACATATTCCATGAAAAACAGCTCGATTCGATATCCACAGTAGAAGCTTTACCAAGCCTTTCCCACAAACTAATTTCTGAACTCTGATTACTTGGTGGACTTTTTGGATCAATATTCCCCTCTCCTGCACTGGATAATACTTCTATCAACTTTCATTTCCTATTGACAAAACACAAAAACTTCTTCTCATGAAGACTGATGTCCTAATTTAGAAACCTTGTGAATTGTGATGACAATTTCTCTACATACTTTATGCAACAAACCAAATAAGAATGTGGAAACCAGAGAAAGTCTTAACCTAGTAACCATATCATCGATGCGGTGAAGGCGGTGAGGGAAGCCAGAGGATCCGTAAGTAGCACTTCGTTTACGAACTAAATCCAACCATTGAGTAAACCTATGAGCTGGACCAGATGCTATGTCTCCTAACATGTACAAAACCTGCAAATTCCAGTAGTTTTCCAATTTTAAAACGAAGATATTTATATAACCTTAAACCTAATAAAATCCAGGATCGAAGAAATCTACACGAGAAGTGACGGTGAGAGGAAGAGGAGACTCGTGCTCGTCGTGACCAAGGTAGAGATATTTCTCGTCGTCTTTCTCCTGCGATATCACCATTAAATCAGATCTCCGAAATCAGAGAAAAAGGCAAAAAATCAAAATCTGAATCTCTGCGAAAAGAGAGAGAGAGGTGAAGAGAAAATGTGGGGGTAATGATGGTTGCAAAAGGTGGGGTGATAATGTTAGATTATTAAACTTTTGGGGAAAAAGAAGGATTACTTGAGAAAATGATTGATCTCGCTTCTTCTCAGGATCCGCCATTGAAAAAGCTTCGTCTGAGAGTTTAATTTTAGAAATATGTCTTTTTCTTCAAATGTCAGCTTTGTATCTGAGAAGAGGAAGTCGCAAGGTATCTTTAATTAATAAAAGGAACTTCTCGGACGAAGAAAGAAGACGGATATTTAATTTAAATTTTATTATGGTAATAAACACCCTGATCATTTTTATAACTTTTAACTCTCTTTTTTAATTTTTATTTTCTCTGTCATATTTTATAAAAATTTTGGCTAAAAATATGCATATTAGAAAGCTTAACTTTTTCTAAAAAATTTATCATTTAATATATTAATTTAAAACAATTTAACCATAGTAAAAATATTATATAACATAAACAATCAGAAAATATTAAATATATTTAAATTTTGCAAAAAAATTCAAATCATCTGATAAGATAAAACATGAAAGTATTTACGTATTAAATATCAATGTAATTGGACAATTAAAACCTTGATTAACTAAGGGCAATTGGTAGCACTAATGACTACATGCTACTTGCTAGTAGTCTAGTATGGTTACTAATAAAATAATTATGTAAACTTTTTTTTTCTATAAACCACACGTTAATTAAAAAATTATTTCGGTAGCACAATCGGAGGAGAAATATTTACAAAGGAAATTTCAGAAATTGTGTAAACTTATTACCAAGTACTAATTTATTTGTAAACCATTGATTTTTTTACCATTCTTTTTATATTTTTAGTTATTATATTATTACTGATTGTTATTTATTTTTAATTGTTTTGTGTTATCAACTGAATCCGTTTTATTTTCTGTTAAACTATTTTGATAGACATCAACAATGTTACAAAAAAAATTTCTTTGTTAAAAATATTAGTGGTTTAGATTTAAACAACAAATATATAATTCCTAAAAGTTCAGGGTTTAATTTGAAATTTTCAGTTCACTAGAATGATTATTTATGGAATTTTGTTTTTTTTTGGTTCTTTCTGAAAATTCCCAAAAATTAATAAGCATAAATATTTAGCCTGAAATATATATTTACATTCTTCTGGTCTTATAGTTAGCCAAAAACGGACCTAGGGTTTTCGTCTGTTGCAGTCACTGACGACTTCTCCGTTCTCTGAACTCTCTCCTAAAGCCTCTATATTCGCCGGATTGTTCATCTCCAAGAATCTGTCATCTCCGAATAAACCAATCTCGAGGTAAATTGAATCTGATCTTCACCAAAAACCTTTGTAATCTCAGAATCATCGATTTAATCACCTTCTTATATTATTAGATCAATCCTTTTCGTAAATCACACGAATTCTCAATTATCGTTTCACAATTTCGATTGTTTTTTTTTAGTGTGAATTTGTAACAATGAGTAAACGAAAGCGTCCGGATCCGAAATCATCGGGAAGTAATCTAAACGAACCACACGAGAAGCTTCTTCTCAATCTGATTCGAAGCAGCCAAGAAAAGGGTGCAACGATGAACGAATTGAAACGCGATAAAACTATCCCAGCAACTATGATTACTCGATTGACTACTTCTCTTAAGAAGAAGAATCTCATCAAAGAAGTAGCAAGCATGAACAACAGAGGTGTCAAACATTTTCTTGCTATGGAGTTTGAGCCTGGTAAGGAACTTACTGGTGGGGAATGGTACATTGATGGAACGCTTAACTTGTCGAAAATCGAAGATTTGAAGGTGAAATGTGTTATGATTTTGGAGAGGCATAGGCATAGAGTTGTTACGTTGGAGGTTATGTGTGGGTATTTTGTTAAAGAGGAGAAGTTGAGTGTAGAGCAGACTAAGGAGATTCTTAAGAACTTGGTTTTGGATAATGTGATTATGGAGGTGAAGAGTAATGGATTGAATGAGTTTGCTTCTACGAGAATTGGAGAAGTTTGCTACAAGTTGACAGGGAAGAAATCCGGTAATGGTGAAGCGAGAGCTGGAGCTTTTGCTTCGGTGCCTTGCGGGGCTTGTCCGCATATAGGGCTTTGTTCGCCTGATGGTGTTATCTCCCCGTCTACATGTGTTTATTTCCAGAAATGGTTAGACTTTTAGCACTCTCTGTTTTGTTTTGTTTTTGGGTTAAATACTTAAGATTTTACATTATGATGATTTGTTTTTCGGTTATACAATATGGAATGCTATTGATATCATAATTTAAGAGTCGAAGTTGTGATTTGAGAGAGTAGAGGTCGGAGAAGAGGATGGAAGAAGCTGATCGGTTTCTTTGCGACAAGCTTCCCATAATTGTTGCTCTACTCCTAGTTTCCTTAGCTCTAACATACCTCGTTCCACTGGAAAGAGAACAAGTTTAAGCCTTAATGTGATGTTAGAATCAGAATTAGGACAAAGGTAAACTTCAGTTGAATAAGTTTGTTACCGTCAACAACATCCTGAGAAGTCGGATTTTTCCCGTCACTGCGACTGATCCAAAACTGCATACGTTCATCTGCAATGTCTTCTTCCACACCATGCAACTTGGCTCTACCCCAGAAGTACATCAGCCACGCCTACAAAATAACCAATAATTACCATCTCTTGTAACTAAATGTCACAAAATAACCTTTCGGTTATAAATTATAGGCTAAAGAACTACCTGCTTAAAGGCAACATCTTCTTGCTCCCCTTCTTTTAGCTCTGCATTTAAGAAATGTGATAGCACGGTAAGGATTTCATCAAGTTTGATTATGCTAATATCATATCTGAATGATCATGGAGACTCTTCTCTTACCATATGTCTCTACAAATCTGAGTTCTCCATGCCCTTTGGAATCTGTATGATGTGAGGAAACAGACTTATCAATCAGACTAGTAAAAACAGACTATATTTGTCAATGTATACTAATTGATGATATATCATACATACCTTGACGAACTAAACTTGGTGTTCTCTTCTGGGCAAATGCAAGCATAACCGCATCTTCAACCTAAATTTCATTGTAATATAAGAACTTTTAAAAATGCTAGAGAGATCTCAAGGGGAACCTCATGATTATAAATGGCGGTAGAAGACACCTTTAAGGATGCTAGCTCTCTCAAACCCATCTCAACTGAAAGCATACTTTCGATATTTCCTTCTCCAGTTAGATCACTTAAAAATCTATCAGTTTTGCTCTGAATACTCCCACCTGATAAATTCCAAAAAGCTGGTAAATAAAGATGATGCAAACAACAATATCAGGGAAACCTTGGCCAATTTAGAAGTACATGGCACATATTAAGACTAGCCTTCTTCCCGAGATAACTCCTTGGCCTTTTGTGCTGCAGATATGACCAGCTCAAATGGAAGAGGAGCCAAAGCAGACCACTTTTCATGCCTTGATGATGCTATGTCAGAACAAATCCCTACATACGGAAGCCATAACTATAAGCGTTTCGTAAATATTAGAGAAAGCTTAGTAAGAGTATCATGAGAACACATTTTCAAGTTCATAAACTTAACATTGCAAAGAGAAGTGAATTTATGCTGCGAAAAAATGGATGCATCACTTACCATGCTGTACTGCCAAACCCCAATACCGGGCAAGCCAGCATCTCTTCAAGGCTACTTCCTCCTAGATGTTCATTTTTTTTTGCATACAGTCGTCAGAAATCGTTAACCGTGAGTGATAATGAGACTTCAGCTTTCTCAACGTACCATTTCGTCATGTGTTAAAACCATTCTTTGAGTCATTGTACGAAGAGCCTTTGCTTCTGCTTCTGCTTCTTGAAGCTGTTCCGCAGCTGTTGCAGCCTCATCCTTCATGCTCTGAACATAAATGCAGATTAGAATAGCACACATATTACGAAACCAGAATAACAATATACCTTACCTGAAGTTGTGAACGAAGGGAAACAACTTCCTCCTTTTTGCCATCTTTTTTCTCGTTAGCAGCCTTAAGAGCAGCCTGTAGCAGGTACCGTTATGCCAGACATTCAGTCAAAAAATTTAGGCTTCAAAAAAAAAGCGTCTATCTCTCACTTAATGTCGTATCAGAATAACAGAAAATGTGAGCTTGACCAAAGATACGATAGAAAATATAGTATTCCTCTACACACTAACCTCCCTTTGGCGCAATGCAGCTTCCTTCCTGAAGCAAAACAAATTTAACATGAGCCAAATAACTACTGCATTGTCTTCTAAAGAAGAGAAAAATAAAAATGAAACGCATGAGAGTTCAGAGGCTCCCACCTACTTAACAATTTGGCTTCCAAAGAAACTCCTTCTCCAAGAGAAGCAACCTTGTGGGACAAATAAAATAAAAAATGAATCTTTCAAGATATACCAGTACGGCAGTACCTATGCACATGTCACTCCAACTAAAATTTCCTTGAAAGTATGAATGAAATCTACTTGTCCTAAATATAGAGTATAAGTTCATTGCATCTCTTCACTTGGTTTGTCACTAAATCTTTAAGACTGATATCATAATAGAACTTCATTTGCATATATGTTTGCTCAATCAAACACACTTAATGTTTCCATGGGGTTTCCATAAACTCAAACAATATGAAGCTACTTATTTTTTTGTCTCTCACTATACATACCTAAAAAGGCAGGACAAAGGCATAACACAAGAGGCTGTTTCAACATAATAATGAAAGATTGGGGACTTAGTTTCAACGACTATTGTCAAGAAAGAGAATGTAAGCAAGTTGGGAATAGTTTTCTCTCAAAATCCAAGGAATAAATTCAGCAAAGATGGACTAGTGATGAAAACTGGATCAAAACCTGTTTCTCCAGCTCTCGAGCCCTGGCTTCTGCTGCCTCGCGGTTTTCTTCTGCACGGTGAAGCTGTAATCCAATACAATTTTAATGAATGACAGAGGAGAACAGATCATTTATTTTACGAAAAAAATTCCAGTGACAAGACGAACCTTCTCCAATACAATCTCATTCTCCTCTTGCAGCATATCGACCTGCAATTAACACATAGTCAGCCTCAAGTCAAAATCTTCTAATTTTAAAAAAATTGTCTCGAATTTACATATACAAAGTAAATGGACCAGATAATCCAGAAGGTTACAAGGAAATGTCCACATACTTCATCACGAAGAGCTGCAGCTTCGCGCTGATACCCTTTATCTCTCGAATTTACTAACGGTACATCACCAAAATACCTGAAAACGTTACATTTATGAAATTAGGCACAAACAAACACAACATAATGTTGTCAGACAAAGTGATGACCTAGTTGAGGACTGATGAGTGATGACTTAGTTAGACAAAAGTGAATATATTCTTCACCTTTGATCTCTATCCTTAAATGACTGATCAATTGGAGGAATAATCACCGGAGGTTTCAACGACGCCTTAGGCGGCATCCAAATCGGAGACGCATTCGGAGTTGCGGATCTACTAAACGTTGATGGTCTTCCAGTAGACGAAGAACGCACTGAAGTCACTTGCTCAGTGTTTCTACCTATCTAATTAAATCATAAAAACCAAAAAAAAAGAAAACAAACACAAATGAGAAAAATCACAGAAGCCAAAAGCTCCTCTCATAATCTAAAATCGATCCGAATCTGTTTCTTAGAATCATAATCACGAAATATTACCGCAGGTGACTGCGATCGGTTGCGGCGAGAGAAGGAACCGTTGATAGCTCCAGAAGAAGGAGGTGCGAATTTGAATTCGTGATCGTCGTCATCATCATCGTCTTCTTCATTGTCTTTGTTCTGTAAAGCCATAACCTTCGCTAACCGTTGAGCCGCCGCTTTGGTGGCTACGTTCTGAGTCCGTTTAACGGTGGATAAGCCACCAACACTACCGATTTGATTCCGGTGAGCAGGTGACTTGGACGGCGATCTCGATTCCGTAACGTTAGATGATCTGCTCCATTGACGACCGTACACTGGGCTCCCAGCCCTCCTATAATCCATCAGTATTCAAATTCGTTCGCAGTATGAAACAAAAACTGTGAGAGAAGAGAATTGTTATCGCGGAAAAAAAAAGCTAGATTGTGGGAGGGATTTGGTAAGCAGTTTAAAAAATGTGAAAGAGTGGAAACGACGCCGTTTAATGCGGAGAAGAACTGAAGCAGAACACATGGGATTAGATTTGCCGGAGGAAAATATGGGACCCTTTAGTCAACTCCAGATTTGATTTTTATTATATGACATAATTTATTACATTTATATTATAATTTAAATTCAAAGGCTAGTCAATATAATAAGAAATCGTTGACAAAGAGAATAATTAAAGATGTGGCAAAATCTTTTTTGTAAATCTCTTTTGTTTCACGCGGATTTAATAAATAATAGTGTGCTTGTTTATATATTTAGATAATATGTTAATATATCAATTAAAAAAAGATTAATATAGAGCTAACAAAATAAAAGTTAAGAATGAAAAATAAAATTGAAGTGTGAAAACATATTAGAAATTAAGAAATGAAAACAAACAAACAAAACCTTATTTCTTTCAATAAGAGAATATGAGGTGGAAGAGAATAACATGATTGTTACAAATTTGGGAAAGTTATTCTTTTAACTATCATTTTTTTAGTTTATTACCATCCGACGATGGCATAATATTTAATTATTTTTATTTAGTCCATTACTGTTTTTTCATTGATGAGGTTGGTAATGATCGTCGAGAACAGAAGATAGATTCAAGGATAGCGTATAACCCAGTCGCCGCAAAAGATTTGAATTCAGTTGGTGAATGTCTCTAACCCAAGCAACACGGCGAGGCAGTACAAACTTCCGATCAACATTGCAACAGAAATTAAATAAATATCAATCCAACGCATAAATTATATATTTATTTATATATATATTATTTGATGATTAATTTTTTATTGTAATATAATATGTTTTTTCGCATACATAGAGTAGAATTCACACTACCTTATATACCTTGTTATGTACCATCACGGCAAATTCATTTCAGTGATTTAACCAACGCAATGAATTCATTAAATTATGAAATCCTTTAGAAAAAAAAAAAAAAACTATTACATCACATTGTTTTTACCGTATGCGTTTCGAATATTTACAATACAAAAACTTGTTGGCTTATTTACCATCACAATTTGTGAAGAAACAAACGCAAGTCATAGGGACAAATATGTCATTTTGGAGGTCAACTAGAAAAGATTCTGTTAAATCAAAAGCTTGGATACTTTCCCCACCTTGTGTCCCAAGCTTTGAAGGACTCAAAGATGAGATTTTTACAAGTCTTGAGATAGGTTTAACGGAAAAACAGTATCGAACACAACCCTCGCAAATACATGCCGAATTTCCGGAAAATCTCCTGAATATAACGAACCATACTCGATCTTGCTTCCTTTCTTAGCCTCAAATTCCATTTGTGTGTGTGTCTCGTCTTTTTTCACACAATCGAATATCCTGCCTGCTCTAAGGTACAACTGCAGCGGTATAAATACCTAAAAAAACAATATCAACAGATTAGGACATCAATTTCACACAATGAGATTTGTAAAGAGTTCTCAAGGGATTATTACCAAATCGGAATACGGTGCTTGAGGGTAAGCTGACATAGCTTTCGATATATAATACCCATCAGTCATCTGGTTTAAGGCATCTTTGATAGATGCATCAAGATCCATGACCTCGTCCAACAGGGTTTGGAAGTCGAGATTCTCCTCGGGCTCTACTAGCTCGAAGAAGCTTTTATCGTGTGGCCTAGCGATCTTCTTTGTGATTTTCACAGCTTCTAGAATATCTCCACAGTTGTGAACAGCAAGGCTAAACGCAGCTACCACTAGAGGACTTCGAGGTTGATCAGCAAGAGCTTTGTGAAACGCCAAGATTGCTATCCTGTTAAATATCCAGATATTACGATAAGGCAAAAAGGAAAGAATGTGTAACTGATAAGATGAGATTTGAATGCAGATGAGGATTTATCTTACCATAAGCTGCTGTGACAAGGTCTATCAGGTGCTAACAATTTATCCAAATTAGCGAAAAGAGACTGCATGACAACATCTTAATTTTCAGTTTCTTTACTCGATATTCTAAATGACCAACACATCTACAACTATCTAAGAGAAGCTTTCTTTCTGACCAGAAGCATGTTAGTCCTTTTGTCACGTCTCCTGAAACCACTGCGTGCAAGATATGCTGCCTGTGAAATAAAAGTTGGATAGACGAAAACATTAATAATAAGGCGCAACAAAGAGACACAAATAACTCTGATTCCATTTACCTGAATTGGTAGAAGAATTTCTAGTAACCCAAATTTCCAAAGCAGTCTCAAAGAAGCTTCTGCTGATCCATAAGCTAACATGTAATTCATTTCCATCAAGATCCTTCCCTGAACATTTGAAACAGAATCAGCCATGAACGTGATATAGACTAACAGGATACGTCAAGCATATATTTTTTGACAGATGCAATAATGTAACCCACCTTGTCAAGTCTTTGTACTAGTAAAGAAAGGTTCTTAATAAAATGAGCTGTTTCCTTGGACATTCTGAAACCTAAACGCGCAGCAATTCTTATTGCACGAAGAATCCGAGCTGGAAATATCATAAACGATGAGCTTGATTAGTTTTCACTATCTAGAGTCTTAATGGGTTACACAGAAAATTTTTTGTTTTTCTTTTGACAAACTTACCACAGTCCTGTTGAAAAGATGTGCCAGCGTGAATCACTGTTCGAACCTGTGATTGTAGAACCACATTGAGAATACATGCATATCACTAGAAATGGTCTGACATAAATCTGAAAACAAATGAAAGTAGAATACATTCACACTTTAGCTTTTCTAATATCTTCCATTCCTCCCAGATAGTCATATACAACTTTGGCATATGGATCAAACATCAACCTGAGAGAGGGAAAACAATGTAAACACACAAAGAGACGTGAGGAAAGAGAAACTATAAGAATCTCCAAACTACTGATGCAAAAGAAAAAAGAAACCAGTGAAGTATTAACAACTACCAAGATTACCCGTTAATTGTGAAATCACGTTGCAAACAGTTATTCAAACGGATACAGTCCTCATCACCATCTGAGCCACTCGATTCTTTGGATTCAGTTCTCGTATTTCTCGGATAATTCTGTGCAGAGGTACTAAAACTTGAGACCTACTCAAATAAAAGAAAGTCAATGAAAACATTACAAAAACATAAGCTTTTCCTTCTACTATGCATACATTGTACTCGAAAGAAATAAAAAGACTAGATAATAAAGAAACCTCTACTAAATCATCTCCAATGTGTACGTGACATATAGGAAACCTTCTTCCAACAATTTCACATCTTGGGAAAGTTTGAACCACCTAAACATCATCGATGCCAGACAAAATGTGAAATCAGATTGGGATAATGTAGACAGTGAGAAAAAGAAAAACAAACAGGACCAACCTCTCTAAGTTCTGCAGAGGTGAGTATATCAAAGTCTTTCGGTGTCCGCTTCAGAATAAGATCCCGTACACAGCCACCCACAAGGTAAACATCATGTCCTAGAGATTACGGAATCAATATGACACATAGTTGAATAAAGTTTTGAAACTGAGAAATCTAAGGACTTTGAAACTATCAACCTTTGCTCTTAAGGCCATTAAGCACTTTTCTCGTGGATTTTGCAATCATTGAGCTGCTTATTCCAAGGTCTTTCGAATTCAGTCGCTTCCACTCACGATCCCCTTCATTTGCCAAATCAATAAAATCAAGCAAAAAGATAAAACAAATCAAAATAGTTGTAGCATTGTGATGATCAATCAAAAACTCCACAAAAAGGTTTCACACAACAGAGTACCAATACCTCAAAAATTAGTATCTACTCAAATGTTTGACATAATAACTAGATTGGAACAGAGAGTCTAGTCCTAACATTATTCAGTTTATACTTCATACACATTGGGACAATCAATTTCATGACTTAATCCAGTAAAAATCATGGACTTAGCTTACGTGTCCCATTAGCAACCTTGTCTTGACTATCACTGTCCTTGGTGAAGAAACCATCTGAGTCATCTATTGTCTCAATTGCAGCAGCAACAGTGTTGAACCGAATCTGAGAGCGAAACAACCGAATTAAGAAAGAGAAACATATAACAGAATCGAATAATTGTATAATTTGGTTCCTAACTCTCCATATAAATAGGTAAAGAGTTCACCTTCCATAAGCAGTGAGACTGGAGAGTACGAACAGGGAAATAGGATCTACAAGCGAAACCCACACTTGAAATCGCCATTGAAATTGAAAAGGTTCAACATTTCATCATGGGTTTTCAAATTTTACTTCACTGAATTGTGAGTAGAACAGAGAGAGTTGCAGAGAAGAAGTTAAGGTTCTAGTTTCTGAGGTTCTCTGGCCGGTCCGGGAAGGTTTTTTGGCCGATACTTGAAACTCTCTTGTCGTTTCCATGTTACTCTTTAGAACATCTTGCCGTTCTAAGGAGTTAGATTAGTATCTGTCTGTTTATTTACTGTACAATTTTTTTGCTTTTTCCATATTGATCTCCCAAATGTACTTACCAAAAATGATTTGTTTATTTCCATCAAATACAGTAATTTGTCAAGGTGAAAATTGGTGAATAAGTCAAATTCTTTAAATTGAGTTGACAGAAAAATCCTCAATTTGTTTTTTATTCTTTAAAGTGTGGAAATTATAAAGAAGATGGACTGTTGACCAATGAAATTAGCTGAGTCAAAAGGGAAAAGAAATTTTAACAACATTACCTAATTTATAAGAAAAATGAAATATTTATGGAAACAAAATCTATATACAACAACTTATGGATTCTTTACAAATCTGTACAACAAGTCAAGATAAATATAGAAACAAATCCGAAATCGTAAAGACAAAGATAAACTATGTAATTAAGGATGTGTTTGTTTTGGAAAAAAAAAAAAGAGAAATTATGACAAGAGTAAAGAAATTAGAAGAGCTCCACAGACACGTGTCCACTATTTGAACGCCACTCTCTCTTCATCTTCTCTCTCTCTCACAATCCAATTTCTCCAGATAAAACCTAATAAATCCCTTTCTGCGCATGTTAGCAAGATATGGTTCCAGGGTAAACTAAAGAAGACAAACACAAAACTCTTTCTCTCCTTCAATTCCTCTCTCTCTCTCTCTCTCTCGCTGACTATGGCCGAGTTACAGTTAGTAGAAGGTCACCAGATTAACGGCGGTTTTATCCCGCCGGCGATAATAAACTCAATCGAAGCACCGGAAACATCCGCCGCTGCCGGCGTTTCAGTCGGATCGAAACGATTGAGAAGACCTAGCGTTAGGTTAGGAGACATCGGCGGTGACCAGTACCACCAACACGTGGTTGCGGCGTACGATTCTCCGCAAGTGCGACGGCCGAAATGGAGACCTAGTGGTGGTGGTGGTGGTAACAGGAAGGAGCCGAATAATCAGAGTGGGAAGACGACGTCTTCGTCGAGGACTCGAACTATGACGAATTTGAGCTCCGGTGGGTATGAGAATACTGGAACCCTAGATGAAGATCCGATTTCGATTGGGAGTTGGCGGGTTAAGAAATGGGTCAAATCATCCGGTGGAGAGACAGCGGCGACGAATACAGTATCGGCGAAGCGAGTTCGGTCGAATTGGGCGACGAGAAACGATGGAGATGAGAAATTCAGTGGAGGAGAAGAGGGAGAAGAAGAAGAGGAAGAGGAAGAAGAATTGGGAGAAGAAGGGTTTAGGGATTTCAGCAGAGAAGATTCGGAGAGTCCGATGAAAGAACGAAGACGGTACGAGAATAGAGAGGTTGAATTGTTAGGAGATTGGCAGAGTGGAGGAAGAGGAAAAGAAGGAGTGAAGATTTGGTTACAAGAGTTAGGGTTAGGAAGATATTGGCCAATGTTTGAGATGCATGAAGTTGATGAACAAGTGTTACCATTGTTGACATTGGAGGATCTTAAAGATATGGGGATTAATGCTGTTGGGTCTAGGAGGAAGATGTATTGTGCAATTCAGAAGCTTGGGAGGGAGTTCTCGTGAAAATGGTGGAAGAGTTTTGGTTTTTTTGTGACAGCCATTGGCAATGTAAGCTGCAATGTCTGAAAGCTTAATTCTCTCTTTTTATGTTTTTTTGTTTGAATGTAACATTTTAGTCACAGTAGTGTTAGTTTGTTGTAATAGTAGAGGAAGATGAACAAGGATTAACTCATTTGTGATTGTACCTTGTGGTTTTTATGGTTTGGGAAAGTATTGACTAATTTATCCTAAACCTTTTTAATACAAATAATAATCCAAACATAGAAAACAGTTGTTGTTCGGAGTAATAAACGAACTCTGACATCCATCACTCAACAAGATTACTATACAATTAAACTCGAGAAAAAAAAACATGGAAGAAAAATCACATAAATGCAGTAGCATCATCGTAAGCAAGACTTGAGGAAAGGTGGACTAACTCTGGGTTGGGATTTACTTAGAGAGGAAATGGCTTGACCCCTGAGAAATCAGATTTGTGTGTAAAGCCGAAGTTAACACTTAAAACTGCATTTGCTTGCGTTTTCCTGGATGCATCTCTTATTTCATTGGTTTAGTCTTCAATCCAACTTGATGTCATTTTTTGACTGTTCTATCTTCTTCGGCTCTGCCGGGAAATATTTGATTCCGCTAAGGTCACCTACTTTGCTTATAACCTGTCCAACACAAAACCACACACATTGATTCAAAACTTGTCTTGCATTGAAACCCGAGCTGAAATCAAAGCATATAGATCCTTTCTTAGCTGTTTTTTGCTTTGGGACTTCTGTGGAATTGCACTTATTTGTAAGAGGAAAAAACACAAAGTGGGTAGAATGAGATGCATTAAGGGCTCTTATAAGATATTACCTTAAGGGCTCTTATAAGATCTTCTCTTGAATGAGATGCAGAGATGCAAATACGTGCCCTAGCCAGCAGTAGAGGTGTAGCTGGGAAACCCACGACCACCACTGCCACCTGTTCAGAGTTTCAGTTTTCAATTGCACCCACAAGTTAATCATTTTTTATGTTGACTTGTGTTGTGTTAATCGAGTTCTCATATGATACTTGGATTTGAATAATAGAACTTACTTTTTGTCGCAGACATTCTCTTGAGAAAGCTGGGATTTTTGCTGGGTTGTAAAGCATTATTGGCATGACTGGGGAATCATTGTCTCCAAGTACCTCAAATCCCATCTTCTGCAGCTCTGCCCGGAAAAAGTTGCTGTTCTCACGTATTCTTGCCAGCTTTTGTGCTCCTGTTCAGTATTTGAGAAGAATGGGTTTTTTTTTTAGGTTATGAGTCATGACCGGACTAGATTGTGCTCAGTGACCCAAAATATGGTCAATTAATGACACGGTGAGAAAGAAATTTGAGTACCTCGGTTTGAACCATCCTCTCCCAGAATAACTTTAATGGCAGAAATGATTTGTTGTGCGGAAGGAGTTGGTATAGATGTTGCGTAGAGGTGAGCTGGGCATTGATGCTTCAAATATTGGATGAGCTCCTATAGAAGTTAAACATAATATTAAATTGATTAGCCTTTTGTTGAATTTGAGAAGCGTACAACTTACCTAAGCAACACATGGTATGTGGTATAGATACCAGAGGCCTTAAGTGTGTCAGCTATATTCTTATTTTGTCATTTCAACAGGTTCAAAGTAAGTTCGGACTTTTGAGTGAAAGTTACGGCTATCTAATTGCTTTTTGAGCTTAACTAATAGGTCAGAATCTTGATTCACCAAAAGAAGCTTACAGTAAATAAATAAAAATGTAAACACTAGCTAACCTTAGATCCAGCAATATAGCCACCACAAGAGCCAAAAGATTTTGTAAAGGTTCCCATCATTACGTCTACATCAGCTGTGTCAACTCCCAGAAGTTCACAAATACCCTTTCCTGTTTCACCAATTGCCCCAATGCTGTGAGCTTCATCCAAATAAACATATGCCTGCAAAGAGGATATTAAGAATTAAGAGTATCTTTTCACGGAACGAAAAATGCCCAATGGTTTACAAAATATGGCATTTCAAAGGGTAATTTAGTCAATAGAGTTCCTTAATCTACCGCTTAATGTGAATGTGGCACATAGTGAACCCAGTTACTTTTTAGGGGTCTTTGCACACACAAAATGGTTTCAGTTGTCAGCCGATTCTCACAATCAGTAATTCAGGAATACTGTCTCACCTTATACTTCTTGCATATGGCGACAACTTCAGGCAGATGACAGATCTCTCCTTCCATGCTGTAAATACCTTCAACAACAACAATAATTTTCTTCCATGGTCGATGCGTCCTAGGTTGACCTTCTGCAATTTGCTCTCTCAAAACTCGTTCCAAATGGGAAGGCGCTAAGAATCAAAAGCAAGAGAATATACATGTAAGCCATCCATTATATGGAAAGAACTTCTGGAGCTAAAACACAACAACTGCTTACTGTTATGCTGGAAAACACGGATAGTGGCTCCTGAACCTCGAGCACCATTGACAATCGAACTATGGTTCAAGGAATCACTTATTATCAACCCTCCCTGTGTACAAGGCAGCAAAGGAAAAAATATCAACTTAAGCATGGGTTTTAGAAAAGAGACAACATCACAAAGGGTAAACCGTTGCATACCTTTCCAATCAAGACTGGAATGATAGCTGAGTTTGTTGCATAGCCCATGCCAAAAACAACAGCAGCAGGCTTTCCAACAAACCTAGTAACACATTCCTCAAGTTCTGCATGCACTGATGTAGTTCCTGAAGGCAGAAAACAAGTTCGTCAGGAAACAGAGCCAAAAAAAGGTTCTAAACTCTATAGGCAAAGACACTGTACCTGCATCGACACGAGAGCTACATGTACTTGCTGAAAACTTCTTCAAGGACTCAATAACACGAGGTGTGCAATATTCATCAAAAGAACCAAACCCAAGATAATTGTAGGACCCCAAATTGAGGCACCTGCTAGTCTTTGTTGTTCGCCTGCACAGAGTCAACACCAAAGGTTTACTCAGCAACTTCCCCTAATTAAACTTCAATGGGACAATTTTATAAGAGTACACCAACCATTCGAATTCGGCATTTTCATATTCTCCCAACAGAATCAAAGAAGCTACAAACAACTGTTGATAGAAAAACACAAGAAGATAGACTCACTTAAGCGTCTTGTTGTTATCATTAGAGTAGCGCTCGACCACATCAAACCAAGCATCAGGTGCACTCGATATAGGTCGTTCAAAACAATCCTTGAAGCAAAAACAGATATAAACAATAGACATCATCAACCCGTAAACTTGTTTGCATAGTTACAATGCCAATAATCAAATCAAATCTTATAGCAGAAGCTAAGAAAACGAAATGGAATTGATGATGGAATTTACCTGAATCCGATGATACAATCGCCTAATATAAAAATCCTCATGCCCCAAACAGATCGGCGCGTATCCCTGTAGATAGAAAATTTCACCGGAATTAGAAGAGCATATAGTTGAAGAAACTTGTACATTGATCCACATCTAACTACATTATATAATAATGAAAGATGACAGAGAGACCTGGAGATTGCTAGTGAGCCACCAATCAATGAAGCGGCGGAAGAAATCGCGGAGCTGGCCAAAAGCAAAGAGCAATCCGTAGCTGAAGTAGGTTGATACAGCGGTTAGATAAGGGATCGTTATCATTTTCTCCGTCTTCTTCTCCGGTCAATCAACTTGCCTCTTCCTCTCTCTTCTCTCTCTCGCCGTCGCTAGGCCGAATCGGAAAACGAATTTAGCGAGGAGATCTGGAGAATTTTTCCGACTCTCTCAGAAATTGAAAGTTGAGAGAAAGAGATTTGAATTGGAATCTTTTCCCCTCCGTGAGATTGAGAAGGAATCGGATCATAAAACCATTTGCTTTATTTTTTTTACATAGGAGGACTAATATTAAAATATTTAATACAGATAATTCAGACATATAATTTATTTATTTTACATAGAACCTTAAAACGAAATAGCGATTTTACGTATATTGGGCCTTGGAGTCCACTAATTAAACCAAAAAGAATAAATGGGTTGGATCAGCTTTGGGATATTGTTTAGAACTTATAAAATTTAGCTTGGAGGAAAAAGAGGTCCTACCGGGAGTCGAACCCAGGTCGCTGGATTCAAAGTCCAGAGTGCTAACCACTACACCATAGAACCAGACGTTTTATTTCCCAAGATAATCAAATCTATTGGTATTAGGTATTTTTGTAAGCCTTGTGCTTCCTCGAAAGAGAAATGCAGGGCCGTTTTTCAGGAGATTTCCCTAATTCTTTTCAAAAAGAATGTATGGAGTTAGTGAAAATGACAATAGATCCAACAGATTCTCCGGCGTTCTCGAATCTTGTAGCAAATTTTTTGGACTTGAAATCCTTCACTCTTTTATTTTATATCATTTTCTCCATGTTTTGGATGTTAAGCAACCTTTATGGGTTTGTAACTTTTTTCTGATCTAGCTAACCAAACCATTTAGTAATAACTTAATATTAGATATCCATATTTCTTCAACTAGTGAATTTGGATGGTATAGCATCCGGATATGCGGCCTGGAAAGATAACAACTATGCTGGATTTGGGTGGATCTTTAGCTCTAAGACAGGAAGAGAACTGAGACAGGGATCATCGGCATCAGATCTGGTTAGATCTCCCCTAATGGCGGAAGCCATGGCAGTGCTGCTCGCATTACAGCATGCCAAAACCTTGGGTTTCACCCATTTATCAATCGCTTCAGATTCGTTAACACTAATCAAAGCGTTTAATTCGGAGCTCCACATCAAAGAACTCCATGGGATTCTTCACGACATCCTCTATCACTCTCTAGATTTCCTTGTAATCTCTTTTAATTTCACTCCTCGAGAGGCTAATCGGGCAGCCGATACTCTTGCGAAGGACTCTTTGTTTGCTTTCAACCTAGACATGGTCTAAGGGAATGAAAATCAGTAGTTGCACAAAAAAAAAAAAAGGTATAGCATCCGGATATTGTTCCAATGCTTTTAGATTGAGATGTAGGCTTATGAAACCAAACAGTTCATAAATAAACTTAGACTTAGCTACTTTAGTTTGGTTGCAATTTTTTCGTCCACCCCTAAATAGTTGTGTTGAATTGCATTTAAGTTTTATAAAGTCTCATTTACGTACATTTCATCAAACTGTTTCCCATGTGAATATTGCATCGAGTAGATGGGGGAATGGCTGCTGGAAAAGAAAAGAAAAAATGTATTGTTCCTCTATAGCAGCCATACAAGGATT